AATTTAAACCCTCTGAGAAATGCAGACATTAATGAGTGATGTGCATTTGAAACACATGTTCAGGGAGATCAATTTCACATCTAGTCAAGTAGGGAAATATAATTGAAGACAATCTCATACATGTTTAGAATGTGGGGGGGGATATATACAATGCTTCAGTTAATAGGATCCCATCCACATAGCAGAAAGGATCTTCCTTAGAAGTTCTGCTTTGTGGGCCTCCTCCACCGTCAGAGGATAGGGTCGGTGGCATATTTGTTGGGAAGCCAAGATTATGGAATTTCCTCCTTGGCAAGGGCAGACTCACCCTTATGTTACTGGGGTCTTTCCTGGTGGACCACTGCTAGGGAGGGCCACTAGCATCCACAAGCAAGCATCCCCTGCAGTGCTGGCAAGGACCACTGAATTCACCTTATGGAGGTGTGTTTGGGTCCATCCTTGCTGGCATTTAGGCAGCTGGGGAAAGTATGACTTCTTAGGGTGGGTTTGGAGGGTCTAAATGCAGCTATGCTGGTGGTTTTCTTTTACTTCTGCTGGCTGTATTGAATTTTATTATCAGAATTTTGGTTTATCTTTTTAAAATGTGTATTGTGGTTTTAAAATGCTATTAGCTCTCTTGTGAATTCAAGGAAATGAAAGGTGGGTAAATATGTTTTCAGTAGATCAAATAATGTATTTTAAAAGAACATGGTTCTTTGCTGCTCCATTTTGGTCTCAGAGAGTTGTAGAACTCCTTGGAGAATAAGGATGTAGTGGACATTCATTCAGCTGTGTTGCATGGGTGTCCATGTAGCAGCTGTCATGTAGAACTTAGTGCCATTAAATGCTACTCTTGTAGGGTTTACAACTTTGTAGGGTTGTATAGCTATAGGGTTTATAGCTAGGGTCTTAAAAACATGAAGCTATCACACATCTGCCAAACATGGATGTGACAAATCCACAATACTTAAATTAGAAAAATCTGTTGCGATATGTTGCATGCTTAACTGCATTTTATTGCCCCCCATAGAATGATAAGAACACTGCACCCTTCATATTCACAGAGAACAAACATATCTGTAGATAGTGCCAAATATTTCCTCAGAATACTTTGCTGATTGTTCAAGGTGACAATTAGTTATTTTTGAAGCATCAGAATGCCTGACTCAGAAAAACAGATAGTTTTCTAAGGTTTTGTTGATTTTTGAAATCAGAGTGCAGAAAACAGTGAGGTAATATTAAACTTTTTGCCACCCCCTATTTGCTTCTCAATTCACCCTCAGTGTGACAAATATATGACAACATTTTAGGCAGACTAGAGAAATGAATTAATCCAGGCAGTCAATATGCAACTTACTATTTGTTTAAGGTAAAAGAGGAAATCTGACATATCAGTTCCAAATAATATTCCTGGTACAAGACATGTTTGGTACAATCAACAGAATTAGGAATTGCTGAACAGGGGTATTTTGTATAAGTAAAGCCAGTGTTGCATAGCATCAGACTAGAATCTGGGAACCCCGAATTCAAATCCCCACTCTGTCACAGACACTCACTGAGAAAGGACAGTAGGTGTAAATGATGGAGAAGCTTTTCATGTAGGCAAAAAAAGTCTAATAGCAACATTTCACCCACACAACCTGCTCAAAAGTGAAATACAAAAACTTGTTAGTGAGAAACAGGACCTCTGCTAGATACAGTTCACACAAACATCTTTACTTAAGTTGTGGGTATTACTATCTAGCAAGTTTCTTCAGTGCCTCTAATCTATTCTCTAACCTATCCATGGATGCAAAACATTATATCAAATGCAGCCACAAAAAGCTGAAAACTACCACATACATTCAATAGGTTAATTCCAAATGTACTATTCTGCTTCTAAAGAAATCTTTCACTAGCATGAATGGAATGAGTCTTCCATGAGTAGAAGGAAGGGTTCCTCACAGGGCTGGTAAAAAAATGTCCTGCCCCTTTATTAGAGACTTAATGTGTAGGAATAGCATGGAGGTAAATAACATCACTTGGTAAATAACATCCCATTAAGCCTCTGTTAAAGGGACAAGGCATTTTTTTCTTCCAGACAGTTGTAAACACTTTGTATCTGTGTTTTTAGAGTACTTAGCCCATTACTGTGGAATAAATGGCACAGAATCAGACTAACTCAATCCTATTCATGTTTACTCAGGAAGAGTATCCCATTTTATTCAGTGAGGCTTACTCCACAAGACTGCAGCTTGAAGGGACTGTATGAAGACTTCTAAGTAAATACCCACAGGATCAGAGTAGACATTTATAGAAAATATGCTTTGAAAAATAGCTTAGCTTGCTGTGGCAAATTTAAATATAGATTCTCTGTCATTAAATCAGTAGAAATCTGGACTCAACAAATACTTGTTGACTTAAGTTTAAAAACTTTAAGTTGAATTGAATTTAAATCTGCTGGTACTGAGCTGGATTGCTCAGATCCCCAGACTTGATCATATATCACAACACAACCACCTCTTTGTCTGGCACTGACTGACAGATGAATAGGTTCTATACTGAGCAGAACCCATTCTGCATTGGGGCTTCCTGCATTCTTGCATAGACTTGACTTGGCATCCCAGCAGAGCACGCTGTGATTTTGCAGGATGATTTCAAAAGAAAGTCTTGTTATAAACATGTATTACAGTAGAAGTTGCCATATGCAAATCTATATTTCACTTTTAAAAATCATTTTTCCCCAAGCACAGGACATTAGAAACCATAATCTTGACCCAATGTTAATTTCCCTTTCATAGAGGAGCCCGCAGTGGTTATTTCAAAGACAGCATTCTCTCACTCTATGTGGCATTGGCAAGGATATTGCATTTATCTATAACAATAAGCTAACCAGCTTGAGGAAGGCAGGATACTTTCCCACACAAGTGTTAAATAGGTCCAGAATAAATAAACTTGTGGCAAGATCTTTTTTTAGTGCAGGGATACCCTTCAATTATATACTCTCTGAGAGATAAAAGCTGTATCTGCTAGTGATTAAGAAATACTTTATAGTCACAGTCTCAATTCTGTTGAAATACAAGCCACACATATTTCATACCCAATCCACTCAGTAACATCTTTCCATCTCCTCTGCTTTAATTGCTGTGAATTAAAACAGGGCAACTGCCAGACTTAATTGCTAGGCTAATCCACAGAATTTTCCAAAAGATACAGCAGTAAAAACAAACAAAACCTCAACTGAGTGTCTGGAAAAGGGGAGTTATTTCTGTGGAAGGTTTGGCTTTAAATAAATTACTGGTTTAGAGATTTAGGGAAGAGTTTAAAATGTAACTTTCGGTAGCACAAGAACAGTACATTAATAACAAGGAACTTTTGTTTTAAAAATTAAATAATATTTCAATTTCTTCCTTTCTTACCCTTAAGTAGTGGTACTGGCTTAAAAATAAAACTGATACACAAACTAAAACTCATCTTTGACATTAACTGTCATGGAAATGGCTGGTGGGGAGGAAGGACACAAAGTGACGAAAATAATGGCATTAAAATCCCAGCACGCATTCTGGCAACATTTTAAACAATAGTTTAAATTCTGGCAACATTTTAAACAATAGTTTAAATTCTGGCTTGAAGAGCTTGTTTGTATTTTCCTTGGGTTATGGTGGTGGTGTGCAAGCAAGTGCCATAGTCCCATTTTCTGCAAGTGGTTAGGCAAGAAAACTTTGGCGGAAACTGCAGGTCAGAGTCTGGCAGCAGAAGGAAAACAAACTGTTTTTAAAGACCAGCCTGTCTCTGGCCACTTTCCTACTGATTCCAGTCCTTTTCCTGCTCACTCTCCTCGCCCATCTTCCGGACAGCCAGAGCCACCACCCCATCAAATGCCAGACCTCGGCTTTTAGGGGGGGGGGGGGGGAAGGCTCATGCCAGACCTCGGGTTTTAGGGGGGGGGGGGAGATAGCCTGCCTCAGAGTCTTTCTCAGAAGTAAAGAGAGTTTCTGCTACTGGGGGCCTCAGAAGCAAGCCCCCCGCTCCTTCCCCAGCCCTCCCTACGGAAACTTCGAGCAAACTCAGCGTGGTTTGCCCTAGTGCAGATCCACCGGCAGGCTTGGCTTTGCCCGGTCGCATCCACAATGCTTGGAAGCAGTGCCTCATGGGGGGGGGGGCGCCGTTGGGACCGACGGAGGGAACTTTGTGAGGCTCGCCTTCCTAGGAGACGCAGGAGCGTCTGACCTTGGGCTGCTGCGGCCACACACGCTAGAGAATCCAGTTCCAATCCACGTTCAGTGCACTCCCGGACAGTTGGAAAGTGGAATGAAAGTGGATTATTTAGCGTATGTGACCGCAGCCTCACTTGATCAATCGCCCTTCCAGGAGTATTGAGAGAGCGACCTGCAAAGGGAAGGAGACCTCCCACCACCAGTCCCGCCGGGCAGGAGACAGGCGCAGAGAGAGAGAGAGAGAGAGAGAGAGAGAGAGCCAGGCTGGCTTCTTCCGCTCCTCCCGCGCCACGCCACTTCTTGGGCCCCTGGCCCGAGGGAGGCCAGACCAGCCTGCTGCGCCCCACCACGCGCCTTCTCCTCAGCCTCCCCCCAGCAGCCGCCCCGGAATCTCCCCCTCCCACCCAGAATAACGACCACGGGGGAACGACTTTGATGTACCAGCCTGAGAAATCCGACAGGGGGGCCCCAGGCGGCGGCCTCGACGAGCCCAATCAGCCCCCCAAGCGACGCCTGTGCTCGGCGGGGGGGAGGGGGGCTCCCTCGGAGCTGAGGCGGCCGGGGCCAGTCCTACGGCGCAGG